AATTGGACGATATTGCTTTGCATTCAGCTTGAACGAAAAAAGTCACTTCCTGGCATACTTTTCTGTAAGCCGGTTCTTTCATTTAAAGGTTATTTATAAAATTGAAGAGAATTTTTTTTTAGAAAAAAACTGGAGATCCACTTAAGTTTTTCGATATAACTTTGGTAAATGTTACTCGATCGGCACGTAATAATTACCAAATTGAAGGCGAGACTAGCTATTACTGATTTATGATAATAATATGATGAAAATCATTCAGATTATAAACAAATTATGTTAAAATAAAAAAATGTTGAACAAATTTTTTTGTCATTTTCCTATATTTGCAATTATTATATTGTATGCATAAACATAAGTAAACTAATTAGTGTTTCTATAAGTTGTGCCTGTTCAGTGCTTCCATACTCACTTTCATAAACAAAATTTTTTCCACGATGATGGAAAATAATGGCTTTTCTATTAGAGCTACCGAAATTGCTCCTAAATTTGCAAAAATTCGCAAACTAGCTAATATTAAAAAAAAATTAGAATATTTGGAACCAGCGACCTAAATGCACGCCAGCAATATTAATGCTGTTCTTTACATCTTTTGACTATAGGCCAGTGCAATTATCAAGAGAACAATTAAAATTTTATTGAAAAGAGATAACTTTGAGATTAACGACAAGCTAAAGGGCTGCAAGAAATGATATTTGACTTTATCTTTTACGTTAACGGACTCATTATCTAATAATATGCCCCAAACCTTTTTTCTGAACCCAGAATTTTTAACAAAAATTGGTCTTATTCGACTAGTGTGCTTGGCGGTCGATGCGAGTGCTCTCACAATTAAAATAAAATACTAATATTTTGCAGGCTTGTTGTTGACTTCATGGTACAATATACTTTCACTATTACCAAGGGATTTGAGAAAAATTAGATTTTCGACCCGCCCTAATGTATACTATTTGCCAGAGATATTATGAACACATTAATTACATCGCTAACCTTTTCAATGAAAATTTTTCTTCAAATCTGTGTTGTTTATGAATGCCGTTTAACGTCATTGGGTTTCAGATCAACTTCATTTAAATATGCCAAACAAGTAGCAACACTGTTGCTTGCTCTTTGAAATTGTTGTTGCATTTGTTTGTTTACATTTTGCACTGAACAGCGGATTGTTCTTTGCAAGATTGATAAAGCAACCTATCTTTTAATCTTGGTTGTTTCGTACAAATACAGGGTTCCATATCTCATATTTAAATAGCCAATATTGGCCATTTAAGTGCAGATTAAATGTATCATCTGAAAATGAATTTTTAAAGTTAATCAACAATCTCTACTTAAATAGGCCATCTGAAATTGTGCCTTAGGCCCATTGGCAGAACAGAAGGTTATCTGTATAACTCAAAGTTTACCGATTATACCATTTTCCCACGACATCCTGAATTACTTTGTTCGCTCCCTCAATTACGACCGCGAATTACCCCATTCCCACGGGCACATTCTTAATTCGATTTGACAGTTCTCTGTATCTGTGTTTTGTTTTTGTTTTTTTCGCTGCAAAATTTAAGTTCTTCCTAAAAATTTATAAGTTTCCATAATGAATTTGGGATATACACATTTATAAACTGAACTTTCCGTACTCAGAAAAAATGCAAGTTTTGATTTGTGAGCTAGTTTCGATAAATTTCCGATAAAAATCAGAGACGGCACTGATTTGTTCGTAATTCGCATGGTAATGGGATCTGAACTACGAACAAATGAGGTATTTCGCTCTCAAAATTTTGTATAGCGAATTACGTAATTCGAAGGATAATTGGAGTACGAATTACGAATGAGAGAGCGAACTACGTAATTGGGATGCCGTGGGAAACCCTTATTAGACTGATAAGTTTTCTTGCACAGCAGTAGGTTAGGCATTACTTCAGAGCTAAAAATATAAATAAATACCTCAGCAATCTTCGAAGATTAACTTGCTAACTCTATGCAATTAATGCTAAATCAAGCCAGACGACTTCGTGTGAAAGACGTCCAACCTGGCAGTATTTACGGTCAGAACGCAATCTGAGGTTGGGGATGGCAATAGGAACAGGGGATGGGGATGGCATCGAAAACACGAAGGCGGGCAAGAGCAGCCTGACCACGCATGGTTTTGTGTGGAATCATACCTCGTTCAGCTTTGGAGAAGATGCGTGATGAAGTGCGGAAGAGATATGGACCACGAGAAGGATTAACATTACAGCGTTTATGCAAGTGTCAGGAAGCCTGGCTAAATAAATTCCCACGAACTCTATTCTGTTGAAATTAATATCTAATATTATTATTTATATAAAAAAAAAATTAGAAAGTCACGTAATTGAAATTATGATTTAATAATGTTGAACGCTCGGCAAATGATGAACGCATGTCAAGAGTTGCCATATGTTTACAGTCGGCCACTCCTGTCTATACAAGCGTCTTCGCTATTAATTGTCTTCGTCATCGGTACTTACGCCACCCTAGTTAATTTGTTCGTCGAGAGCTGGCAGATTGCACCACGGTCGAAGCTTATCTGAAGCGTATATAGACGTGTAATGACGTTGTTTGCGTGAAGTCTGGAAGATCAGTTATGACGTATCGATCTCGACCAAGGGCTTTGCTAATAACGAAGGGGCCTTTGTAACGTGGCTCCAACTTTCGTGATTCGCCCGTGCTGGCTGGTTCGTTCTCGACTAAGACCAAGTCACCGACTTTGTATTGCGTTGGCGTAGTATGTTTTTGGTCGAAACGTATTTTGGCCTTCTCTCGTTGTTGCGTAACTCGATCCGCGGCGGTGTGTCGTAGATCACTGATATCAACGTCTTGTGAGTTACAGTCGTGTAGAATCGTTGTTAGTTTGTTTTTAAGTATATCGCGCGGCTTGAATGAATACACCAACTCATATGGG